ACCGCCTATAAATGTCACACGAAAATTAAAAATTGCCAAATTTCCGTCAGAGTTTACCAGAAAACATGACTAACCAAAACTACAGTCTATTTCAGAAAGATGGTGAGTAATAAAACCCCATTAAGAGTGCAAAGGAACCACAGAGTGATCCGATGAACACTTTCATTTCATTCCAAATTCTTTGTATTTAGCGAGTGCACACACTTTCTGCATATGCTCTGATAAAAACTAGATTACGTAATAAATTTTGACCGTGAGCGAGGACTATGACAGTGTGTATTGGCATCTAACGTACTCAAAAAAGAACCCGTGTCCATTTGCCACAATTTTCGTTCGGGCTCGTAAACTCTGCTCCGAAGCAGATTGTGTTTTATGGCCGTCCGACGGCTTCCGTTGCCGATTGAACGGCGGCACACAAAAAATTAATTGACTGTTTACATAACGTTTGATTAAGCGGCGTTCTCGGGCCAACTAGACCGACGACTGACGAAAATATCTTCGAGGGGCGGGGCAAGCGCGTGTTGACGCCCAGCGCACGCGCGCAGCTCTCTCCGTCGCCGTCGAGCTTAATCTGCTGCGGTCGGACGCAGTGTGGTTCCAAGACAATTCTTTATTGTGGCACTTTGATATCGCGCCGTTTTTTAAACATATATTTTTTGAATTCGTAAGAATCTACGCCTTCTTAATTATTATTATTCTTAGAATTAATAGATACTTATTATTTATTATATTATATCGTTAAATGTATTTAACTAAGTTAACTAAGTTAACAGCAAGAATACACGTAGGCTATTTTTCTTAATTTACAATATACAAAAAAGGGCATTCTCAGCATCCTATCACGGAGAATTTTTTTTTTACATATTTTTTATATTTTTAAGATTACGTTTAATAATATCTGTTCTACAGTAGAGCTTCGTTCAAGTTAAGAGTGTGAACTCCAAAAATTCGTATCCTCCAGTTTTAAATATTTCTTCTTCTACAATCCGAATTTCTTAAGTATTCCATAGTCCGGATCATGTGTTCTTTTAACCGAATATAGAATTATAAAAAAGTACCATGAAAAACAACTCAAGAATGCTAAAAAAAGTTTTACAATAAACTTCTTACAACCTCTGTTAACAAGTCTCAAACGGCGTGGACGATTATTACAAATGAAAGTAACCTATCTAAACAGATTCCAGATCACTTCATTGATTTACACGCGATCTCTGAAAAATTTAACGACTTTTTTGTGGATTCCATTAGAGAAATAATAAATAATATAAAAACAACACAAACAACTAATAAAAAATCTTCAAGTCGAAGTATATTCTTAGCGCCTTTCACGGGTATTGACCGTCGATGCATTATTTCTTCAGTACAAGAAAAGATTCAGCTGGGTATAATAAAACGTGTTCAGATTTTATAGTCGAACCTCTTACTTTTTTGATTAATCTGTCTTATTTCCTTCCGTTGTGCGGCTTCTGCCTCTTTTATTTGCAATCCCGTTGATTGCTTTAACTACAGAATGCACCACAACAGGTTATGGGACCAGAGTGATGCTGGAGACTCTGTTTAAAGTTATCGCGAATTTCGTTTTACGGTATTGAAATTTTGGAACTCAAAAAAAAAGATGACTATTCTCGCTATGTCCGTACATTGTTCATGAAGAATAAATCAGAAGTAACCACACATTTGGAAACATTTTTGAACGAATGTGATTCTGCTGGTCACAAAGTAAAAGCCTTTTGTTCAGATGGATGTGGTGAATTCGATTGTGCTAGTGCATGTGTGCAACGAGGTATTGAACTCATTTTAACGTGTCCGGAAACGCCAGAGCAAAACGGCGTTTCAGAAAAACCAAACCGACACATTGTTGAATTGGCTCGTTCAATGCTTTAAACAAGTCAACTGCCAAAACCGTTTTGGGCTCATACCTGTGACACAGCAACATTTTTGATGAATCATACGGGAAAATCAAGTATCCCAGGTAAAACACTCGACGATCAACAAATGGATTTGTCTCACTTATTGAAGGTACTGCAGTTTCATGGACTTCTCAATTACCGAGGTCAGTTGCACCCTCAACTACGGAAGCTGAGTTTGTAGCTGCTAGTGAAGGTTCAAAGGAACTTGTGTGGCTTAAAAGACTGTTAAGTGAAACAAACAGTAAAAGTGACATTCCAGTATTGTTTGTTGATAATGCAAGTGCAATCAAATTAATCAAAAATCATGAGTTTCACAAACGTATTAAACATATAGAAGTCCGTTACTACTATATCCGTGAATTATATCAAAAGGGGATCATTGATATTAAAGAAATTTGTTCTAACGAACAGCTGGGAGATATGTTACAAACCGTTAGGTTATGTCAAATTTAAAGAAATGTGCAATAAAATCGGCGTTCAAATGTGAATAATATGTAAAACATTAATTTAAAATGTTGTAAAAGTAAAGCTTAAGGGGTGATGTTGAAGCGTATGTAACCTTTACTTGTTCTTTGGTTTTACTTAATCTAAGGTTATGTCGACTACATATAGAAAATATAGTCAGTCTGTGGTGCAATCCCGTTAATTCCTTTAACTACATCATTCACCACAACACCTTCAGCCATAAAACAGTCCATCGCTGTGCCTATACACAAGAATTACAATACCCATTTAATTTCTAATTACAGTGGAATATCAATTCTATCGGTTTTTTCCAAAATATTCGAAAAGTGTTTTTATATGCGGCTCGATGCATTTCTAAAGAAGGAGTAATTATTCTCGAATCCTCAGTTTGGTTTTCGCAATGGATTATATACAAAAAATGATAGTTTAAGCTGATATTTGCAGTTTTGATGCGGTTTTTGGGTATGATATGAGTCGAAAAAGCCGATTTTGAGTGCAATATGTTTGAATAAAGGAAGAAAGACCTACTATCAATCCAAGAAAGTGGGTTTTTAAGTAGTCATCTGCAGTTTTAATGTATATTTCAATCTGCTAAGTTATGAAAATGCATGTTTTTAGGTGCGGTATGAGTCGGAGAAGCCGATTTTGACTGGAATCTGTTTAAAATGAGAAGGAAAAACCTGGTATCAATCCAGGAAAGTGAAATTTTAAGCAGTTACCTGCAGTTTTAATGTAGATTTCAGTCCGACAAGTTATGAAAAATCCTGTTTTCGTTATAATATACCGTAAATCAAGGGCGAAAACCAATTTTTTGTCGCAAAAAGAGAGTTTTTCAGTACATATATGTATTTCTAAGGTAGATTTGAGTACAATAAGAGGCGAAAAAGCAGATTCTGACTAAGATCTTATCGAAATCGGCAACTATTTGACTCAGAAAGGGGGTTTTACATCGATATCTAATGGTTTATAAAGGTTTGCGTTACTCTAATGCCCGACGACGCCAACTTTGACTAGGATTTGAAACATATTGACAACAAAAAGTAACTGTTTGGATCAAAAAACGATAGTTTGACCTGATATCTGTAGTTTTGATGTTTAGTTTCCTTATATAATCAAATAGTCTCAAACCTGGATCAGAATAATAAAACAGTATGTATGTTCTTTGACTTCAAGCGAGCTTTTGATGTGCTTGATATTAATTTGTTGTTAAAAGTTAAATAACTGCGGTATTCGGGGGCTTAGAAGTGATACTTCTGTGATTAGATCCTCATCTAAAGAACTCACCAGCGGTGTCCCACAGGGAAGCATACTGGGACCTTTATTATTTATAATATCTATTAATGATATATCTGATTCTTTCCCAGATAATATGTTTCCTTATATGCAAATGAAGAGCTAGTGAAGTTTTTGTCCAACAAAAACGTATTGTTCGAACAATGTTGGGGAAGTCTTGTAGTCACTCTAGTAGAACCCTGTTCCCAATATTAAATATCTTAACGTTTCCCTCTCTCTTTATATTAAATAGCATTATTTACATAAAGAGTAATCTACCTAATTATTGCATGACCAGAATTGCTAAGTTATAATTTAGCCAAAGTAGCTAACAGCCCTATGGTTTTATCAATAAAACTATATAATAAGTGGCCTTTGACAATCAGAGAGATATTGCCTGTCCACTTATTTAAGCAAAAATTAAAGGTCTTTTTGAATAAGACTGTTTTTTATTCTATCGATGAATACTTTGATTGTAGTAATGTTGATTTCTCAGTGTGATATAATTTGTGTGTTTTTTTTTCTTTTTTTTTGTTGATGTATGTTTGTACTTATCTATTTTGAAAGTTTGTATTTCAATGTTCTCATTATTGATCAAGAGGACGAAGGCAGAAAAACAATTTAATATCTCGTTTTCAATAAGTTAACAAAACACTTTTTCTAAAACCGTTAGTTTTTGGGTACATTTTCGCAAAACAACACGAACACATTCACTGACATGACGGTCAGAATTGACAAACGTCAAAATTCAAAGCGTGGGAAATATCTCCGAAAACAACCGTGCGGTAAAATCGCGCGAAACTGACGTGGTAAACTGAACCTTCCCGCAGATCGGTGTGTAATTAGGAATTTTACAGACGGGAGTAGAAAAACTCTTTATTTCACTCGTCTATTAAGCACGTTGCGTTGCGCTCCGCTCGTGCCAAATAAACTCACTTGTTGCCTAATATACTATTCTGTGCCGAAACGGGATATGAAAATTTAACCGACTTGGAATCTCCAATGGTATAAAAGTTGGCAACAGAGCGCGCTCAGTTTAATTTGGTACTGCCTGTATAAATATAGAAACGAAAAACAATTTTTTATCAGATCGACAGACGAGAGATCACCGTTAGTGCCAAAAACCGCGAGCCGGGCCGCCGCCGCGGGCCCCGCCCACCCGCCTCTGTGGGCGGACGGGCGGAGGTGGGGGGACCCAACGAAAGCTCGCGGCGTCGACGCGCTCCCCCGAAGACTGTCATGGCCAACGCTGACAGCATGTGTGAAAACGTCCAGTCAGTCATCGGCGTTCGTTAAAGTCGGCGGCGGAACCGTGAAAATTTCGCGTGTCAAAAAAGGTATCGCGCGCGGGGGGTTTAATGACAGTCGGTCGAGAAAAGTCCACGTCAACCGGTCGATTAGTTTTGCGGCCGCGCGATCCGCGTTTTATATTATCGCGCCCCGTCGTATATTTATAAAATATTATCGATGCGCGTGCACCGTTGAAAAGTGCGGAAAAGTGCGCGGCTCGACGCCCGGAATGATTTATTGGAGACGCGCTGCGCTTTTCGCGATGGGGGGAAAAAGGTAAATATTTCCGGCGACTTTTTGGAAATATACGCGGGTAATTTAATGTGACAATGTGTAAAGAATCGCAAAATGAACACTTTGATCATTTTCACCAAAAATGTATTGAAATTTTTGAGCTCGTATTTCCCTTATGCCACGGACATAAAAGTAAACATTATAAAGATACAGCTTATAAATCTGGCAATAAAAAAGTACTACCAAAACAAAAAAAAAACGTTAATAATACCTACACCTACTGGTGCCAAAAATTTTAATGAAGATTGTTGGAATATTGTTAATGAAAACCGAAATAAAACAAAAAAAATGTCATAAAGGAAATCATAAATGAGAACGGTGAAAAAGTTACCGACGTAAAAGCAATCTGTGAAGTTTTTGAGCTCGTATTTCCCTTATGCTATGGACACAAAAGATACAGCTTCTAAAGCTCGATACCTTGCAATAAAGAAGTGCTACCAACAGAAACTCGCTATAAAAAAAAAACATGAATAACAATAGACTTACGAAATAAAACCAAAAAAAAAGGTTATAAAGGAAATCATAAATGTGAATGGTGAATAAGTACATAGTACATAGTACATTGCTAGACAAGTATGACGTTAAAAGCAACATCAAACCTGCGGTTTTTCTATCTTTTCCCCACCACTCCAAACGAAGTCTTTTTGGTCATTAACAAAGTATGTAAAAAAAATCATCGGATACTGCTAACATACCAGGAAACATACTGATAAAAGCGTCAGAACATATGAGCCATCCACCGAGTTTCCTAATAAATAAATCAGAATTAGAAATTAAAATATGAATAACAATAGACTTACCAAATAAGACAAAAAAATGTTATAAATCTGTGAAGCTTTTGGAAATCATTTTTTAAATTTGGATTGGCATAGTACATTGCTACACGGCTTTAAAAGCAATATCAAACCTGTGGTCGTTCTATCTTTTCCCCACCACTCCAAAAGAAGTCTTTTTGGTCGTCAACAAAGTATGTAAAAAAAACACCAGTGAACGTACTGGTAAAAGCGTCAGAACAACTGAGCCATCCACTAAGTTTCCTAATAAATCAGAGTTTCGTCGAATGCAGGTAAGACAGCCAATCCTAAAAACTATAGACCACTCTCTTTACAATGTCAATTTTGTAAAATTTTTGAATTTTGTTATAACTCGCGTTTAAACAATTATTTGGAAAAATTTCAGTTACTCTCAAAAAACCAAAACGGCTTTCATATGAAAAAATCAACTAGTACTGCTCTCGATCAAGCCACTCCACATCTATAATTCATTGAATAACAGGGAGTACATCCTCGGGCTATTTTTTTTCCTCTTAGTAGAGCATTTGATAACGTCGGTCAAGGTTTGCTCTTAAGAAAGCTTGAATATTTGGGCGTAAGAGGTGCCGCATCTTATTGGGTGCGTTCGTATCTACAACACACAAAGTAGGTTGAGATCGATGTTATTCGCTCTGTTAATAAAGATGCACCTCAAAGCTCTTTTTTTTATCACCTACACTGTTTAATATGTTTATCAACGATCTACCTCTAAATTTAGAAAGCTTTGGCATCCAAACTTCAACAAAAGTGCCGAGTTTGTCAGACTGATGACAGGGTGGTACAGCGACAATGGCTAAAATTTGAACTCGGATAAAACAGTGACCATAAAATTAGTGCCAAAGAATTTTACAGTGGATAGCAGTGTTTTGATACGAGTGGAGAACAAATCAATCAAGAGTGTATCAAGCACAAAATTTTTAGGTATATATATATATACAAAATATAACACCTACTGACTTAAAAATATCAAAAATGTTCGTTTGTTCCAGTCTTTCGTTTCCTACGGACTTGCGTACTGGGGGCACGAGAGCTGTACCTACGATATATTTATTATAAAAAAAGGAATTAGATGTATGCCGAGTATCAAAAGAACAGTGTCTTGTAGAAATTATTTCAAAGAGTTGGGAATTTTAACATTTCAGCATAGAAAGATAAAAACGTAATAACCACAATACATGGGCAAAAAAATGATCTTACAAAGCCATTTTCAAGACAGCACAATAGCATCCTACATATGTCGGAATTAAATTATAACAAAATTGCAAAGATTCTTTTAAATTTTTTTAGTATCCCAATACGCATCTCGTACTTTGGCTTGTATTTTCACCATTTCTTCGAGAGGAGCATGTTCACCATGATACATAAAAAATTTCTCTAGCAGCTTAACTGAATATAGGGCTTGTTGAATGGTTGGTGGTGGTCCCAGATCAACTTCTTGATCTTCTTCTTTCTCTTGGTGCCCTTCCTCACCATTTCTTGCTTCGCCACTTATAATTTATACCATGTCTCTGTTTGAACTTCCCCAATCACCCTTTGGAAGCCTGGAGTGGTAGATTTTAATGACGTTGCCGTTGGAATCACTGCAACAATGCCCGATCCAAATCTTCAAATTTTGGCTCTCTTAGTTTTTTACAAGAACTGTCTGCCGCTTCAGCCTGATTGATTTTTTCTTTGCGTTTCCAAATCGTGGATACAGTCGACGATGTAAGTCCGTATCGACGTCCCATATCACTTTTCTTTTCTCCCCGTTCTATCTCTTGAATTGAAGCAACTTTATCATCTAGAGATAAAATTTTTCGCCATGCTCGCCGTATTCAATAAGTCAAATCAGAATTGATTGAAACAATTGTGTGCTTTTATACACACCGATAATGGCATTAACGTAATCGCTTATTACGAGAAAAACACTTAGGACGACCAGGTTCTGGGTAATTAGATTATTAGGGTAAGGAATTTTGAGAAAGTAAGAGACTCTATTAATTATAAGTCGGCCTACATTCCTTACTTTGTTACCTGTTGTGCACTTTTTTCTTTCGGTACAGAGAGTGAGAAATTCGTTATACAGAGTGGATTAATACATAGCTTTGTATGGAGACCTAATAGTATACAGTTATACAGAGTTTCGTCATAGGGAGTTTTCACTGTATTGTAAAATTTCTGTGTGCGTATTTATACTAATATTTGTTTGGTGAATGCCTATATTTGTTACGCATATATTTGTTGGTTTAATTTAATAAACGAGTGACTTAAAAAAAATTTACAAGGTATTAATATAAAAACCGTAAAAACGATACTATATGTAAAATTTCTGTGGTAAAGTTAAATTATAAATGTCGCTTTACTTACCGACTTGTCCACTGGATTTTAATTGTAGCTTATAGGCAGGTAGTATTTAAATTGTCTGATATATTGCATAACATTTTTCTGTGTATTAGTTTTTGGGTACACTTTTGCAAAACAACAATACGAACACATACATGACAAACGTCAAAATTCAAGGCGTCGGAAATATCTCCGAAAACATCCGATTGCACCCAAATCCGTGCGGTAAAATCCCGGAAATGTCCGAAGTGGTTCGAATCCGCGGGAAACGAAACTGTCGTGGTAAATTGACGCTTCCCGCACGCTAGATCGGTGTGTAATTAGGTATTCTACAGATGGGAGTAGAAAAACATATTACCACTAGCAGGCAATTTTGACACAGATTCATACAAAATATATACACGGTGATTATGGAATTGAAAGCGCATATTTTAATAAGTGAGTCTCAGTGTCGAGGAAAAAACAGCAAAAATACTGATTATAGCGGTTGCAGTCTGGTGTTTGAGAAAAATAGGTACAAAAGTTTTGAAAGTTCGGAATTTTTCAAACAAGGGTGACGATAATTTATTTGTTTATATGTTTGCTCTTTGGGACGTAAACTGGTCGAATCCACAACAGTGTCCTGTTAAGAATTCCAATAAAAGTACATAATAACATGCAAAACTAGTTAACAATAATACCAAGAAAAGAGAAAGGTAAACGAAAACAAAAGAGAACAGTTGAGACCTGCATAGAAAGAACAAGTGAAGGACTAATTATAATAACATTTCCAATTTAAAAACGCAACAAAAAAAACCAATCCCATGCAAAGAGAAAGCATAAGTAAAGTCATGAAAATTTATATAACGAGTGTCGATCCAAAAGTCTAACAGGAAGAATCCTCCTCATACGAAATATATACAGGGTGTTATTATTATTATTAGTAAGTGTCGGGGTCGAGAAAAAAACGGTAAAAATACTGATTATAATGGTTGCAGCCTGGTGTTCGAGAAAAATAGGTACAAAAGTTGCCGTGCTACTGGATTTTTCAAACAAGGAGAATTTATTTATTCAATTATTTGCCCTTTCAGAGGGAAACTGGTCAAAACCACAACAGTGTCCTGTAAAGAATTCGAATAGACGTACATAATAATATGCAAAACTTAGTTAACAAACAATAATAAAAAAAGCAATCTTACAGTCAATACATAGCGAAAGCATAGTTTATCCTTTTTCTTTTTTTTATTTAATTCTACTTATTTATTGATAAATAGAATATACGATTATTCAGTTTATTTATTAATTTATTTTGTAGTAACATTTAAATAACTAAAATCATGAAATGCTTATGATTTAGATCCAAAAAAGTCCAGCTCTAAGTAGTGAAGATTTGCAGCTCTCAGCATACGAATCAAGAGTGTGAAAAAATTATCTTTTTTTAGAATATGTGAAAAGCACATGAAAGAATATCATCAATTATCATATTGATTTTTTCAGTCTCAGATTCTAGCAGCGATCGCAAAATGGCGTCATCCCAACGCACGTGACAATAAGTGAAGGACCGCAACTGAGAATTGTCAAAAATAATTTTTAAAAAATTGCCAACAGTTGAAAAAATTGTCGAAATGCACCACCAACCTCAGTTCCTGCAGAAAGACTCTTCCGGTTCGCAAATGGACTCGACTTCAGTGTCGTATCACGCCCAGTTTAGCTATGGGAGCAATGAGAACTGGACCTACAATAATTCCAGTGTCACACCGATGAAACAAATTGAAGGTTAGTATAATAATAATAATAATTGTCTATGGCAGCTTTGGTACACTGCCATCTCTGGATTTTTTATTAGTTTAAAAATATTTCAATATATTAAAAAAATTATACATGATATAATGCGATCTTAAGAGGAAAGCCAAGTTATATATTTTTTTGGAAGTATTCAACAAAAACATCTAATGAATACTTAAGTCACTCGAATATGTAAGATACGGAAAATTTGATCATTAAATTGCTCCATTGAAATACCATTATTGTCAAAACTTGATGATGGTAATAGACGACTATTTTAGGTGCAAGTCGAACGGTATACAGGGTAGGTCAGCGCAGCCACCGAGGTTAATAAAATATGACAAATTGGCGCGTTGAAAAGTGTTCTTAAGAATAATTTTGTACTTTAGATGCAACGTCTCGGACATTTTATTTTAAAATATCCATTTCTTTTCTTTTATTATCACTATCACCATTAAATCGTTTGTTTATATTTTTATGTATATATTTAATGAGATTTTGTAAATTCCTGCAAACGACGTTATTCTATGCTTTGCAAAAATTCGATTGAAATAACAATTTGTCTTGAGTACCCCTAACTATTTCGAAACTTCAGCAAAATGATATTAGCGCAAGTTACGCCCAAATCCAAATAATAAAATAATTTCTATTTTTTTTTATTTAACTTACACATATTAATAATAAAAACAATTTTACTTAAATTGAAAAATATTTTAAAAAAAAATATTTAAAAACACAAAACAATATTAATCAAAAATTTTGAAAAAATACCAACCGAGCATATTATAACTTATGCTGGTTTGCTTGTACTTTTCTTGTAAGGTTCCACTTGACCTGTTGTCTTTCTCTCCTGCAATAATTTAAAATATTCAAACTTTGAGAAAATCCAGTCATTCGGGAACATCGGGAAAATTAATTCAAGTCATCACATACATTTAAATCAATAACTTTTTGGAGAAATGGAGTGGAAAATTATTGGAACATTTTTTCGCAAATGTAGCTATTTTATTACCAATCTTATGATACTCTGAACACCACTGCTTAATAGCAAATTCTAATGTTAATATGCTCCTATTAACGCGCCATTCCAAAACCAAAACCTAATCTTTAAGTTTCAATAAATAATACGACAGGTGACACCCGGCTATTTATTTTAAACGATACTAAACGCGCGAGAATGATTATGACGTCATACCGCTGCATTTCGATCGATACGGCGACATGCTATAGTGTTATTCTTAGGTTATGGGCCGCGAATAATATTATTTACGTCTTTTTGAGCTCGTGTAAAGGTTTGTTTGTATTTATTCTACGTCAGTTTGTATTTGCGCATTCCATCGTGTTTAAATACAATTCGTAAAATGCCAGAGAAACTTTTTATTCGTCTACCAGACAATAAAAGCCGTCGTTTTTTATTAACATTATATTATGTATATATATTATGTTCAGGCGTCACTTTAGCCTTAACCTTGCAAACATTTTTAACTCTTCGAATTTGCCCCCACCCTATTGCAGTCTCCAATAGGAATGGCTTCTATAAAATAAAGAAAACTTTACGTAATGAATACTTTAAAATCAATTTAATTTACACCTTATTTGGTATACCATTTGAATTTTAAAAACTAGAAAACTGTAAGCCGATTACAATATTATATTGGTTTTAGACTAATAACTAAATTTTCGCTTTAACGCCGCGAACCTCAGCAAAATAAAAATGTTCGGTGTTTTGTATGTAAGATGTCACCATAAATATATCCACTAAAGGGAAATTATCAGATTGACCTTTAAAAAAATCGGTTTCAAGATAACAAAAGCAAGCAACAGGATCGAGACTAAATTAAAATTAAAATCACCAAGACGAGCGCGTTGTCGGTGTCTAATGGATTTTCTGTGCTACCGTCCGCCTGGCACGTAGTCTAACGAGCGAATTGACGTCACAACCGGTCACAGCCAATGACAGCGCGTTTCAAAGAGGATGTAAATGTTACAATTTTTAATTGCTTATATTTGTTACGTAGGAATACGAAATTATTTTTTTTTGTGAACTGTGGTTCTTTTAATAGTAATATTATAATCATAAATTTTGATTAGTTTGTACATTTTGAGGCCTTTGCGTAATACTACGGATAAAATAGACCTCTCACTTTTATAAGCAATATTTTTCAAATCAAAATTTTCTCCAAGTTCCCTATTTCCTATTTGGTACGCTACAATTTTTATGAAAAACGCTAGAGTAGTAAAGAGACGCCCAAAAGTTCAAAATCCTTATTTTAAATGTTGATTGCAAAGATCAAAATCGATCAAAAAAATCCCGAATGTTCCACACTTAAGTGTCCACGCTGTATATTAGTGCCCAATCATAGGAACCAAGAAAAAATATTATTAGGTGTACACCATGTATACCGTCGGAAAGAAAAATTGAAACAAAACTTATCTGGCGGCAAATTCGGGCCGATTTCGGGGGGCTAATTGCGGGCGTCGCGGCGGCGAGGCGTCTTAAGGCGTCGCGGTACGTAAATCAAACGATCTCATTAGTTAAGCACATCGGGCATTTGTAACCGGGTCGGTTTGATTTATACGACGCAGAAAAACGCATTTATGGGCGATAAAATTGACGCGGATGACTTATTGCGCATTTTTCTGCCGTTGCCTGCGCGTTAGAGACCCCAAAACCTGCCGCGCTTATTTTCGGAGCGAACGAGGCTCAACGCTAATTAGTATCTTTAAGTGTCGAACATTTACAAGACAAGAAAGGACACTCTCGCGTCGCGAACGTGGCACTCTTTCGAGGCACTTCATGGCACTCCCCGGTGATAAGTGAGCAGATATGATCGCCACCGAATTTTAATTAACCAGCGCCTCCGAAATGCAAGAAACAGATAACTTATAAAGTGATTTAAAGGAAACAAAAACAGATATACGAGATGTGTTCAAAAAGTAATGTGGCTTTGGTAACTGGGCGGGCCACGTAAATTCGATATTCGATATAGTTTTTTTGTTATGTTGGTACACATGTCCCTAACATATGTTCACAATTCAGAATTTGCATAAAATTTTGTGTAAAAAATGGAATACAGTGCTGCAAAACACTTGAAATGTTGACAACAGCATATGGTGAATCTACTTTTGAGCAAAAAAAAAAGTTTATAAGTGGTTGGTTGAGAAGACGCAGATGATGAACCTGAAAGTGTTGAGGAAGTGAAGTGAAGACGTCGCCATCTCTATTGGCTCGTGCCATGCAATTTTTTCCGAAGTTTTGGTCATGAAACGTGTACCAGCAAAATTTGTCCCGAAACTGCTGAACAAAAGGACCGTCGAAGGAGCATAGCTCAAGAGCTGCTAAACGAAGTCAATGATAATCCAAATTTGCTCAAAAAACTCCATAACTGCTGCCCAATCATAGGTATCGTTATGACGTCGAGACCAAAGCAGAGTCGTCGCAATGGAATAACCCAGAATCGCCAAAACCGAAAAAAAGCACGTCATGTTCAATCAAATGTCAAGGTTTTGCTTACTGTTTTCTTTGATTATCGTGGCAGTACATCAAGAGTTCTTACCACAACGTCGTACGGCCAATAAAGAAGTTATTCGCGAAGAAATACGAAGAAAACGTCGGAAATTGTGGATTTTGCATCACGCTAATATACCTGCTTACTCATCGTTGCTTGTGTCTAACTTTTTGGTCAAAAACAAAACCACAATCGTGCCTCAGCCACCATATTCACCGGATATGGCCCCCTGCGACTTTTTCGCAAAACTCAAGAAACCCATGAAAGGAACGATTGTGGGGATAATAGATGAAGTATAAGCTTTCTGCTTGAAACTTCTTTAGAGTTTATTTTAAATTTAATATAACTCGAAGCGCAATTAGTTGATGTGTGGTATACAGTGTGACCACTTTTTTGAAGTTGTGAATTTAGATGCCTAATGGCCTTAAGCTACCAAAATTGGATCTTAGTATTTCCTTCATAGTAAATTTATATTCAATTTAAAAAAGAAAGTTTTACAAGAATTGTAATGTTGAAAATGAGATTCTTCGGAATTCACTCGTTTGGTTTGCTTTTAAATAAAATATTATCTACAAATTTTAATTTAACCCTGTATTTTTGTACACTTGGCGATTTTTTATAAGAAACTAAGTTAAATTTATAATTATTACGTCACTTAGAAATTTTTGAAAAAAAATCTGTCGAAATTCGATTCTTCGGTATTCGTTTGTTTGGTCTACATGGTGTCCCAATTTTAAACTAACTACTATTAACAGATTTTAATTGGAACCGTGTATTTTTTATTTCTATTACTCATTTTCGAGAAAACACCTTTTTTTTCAATTTTCAAAATGATTCCGAGATTGGAGATAGTGATTTATAGTTTTTCATTTAAACTTTTTATGGACTATTAAAATGCATAAATAAACTAGTTCCAACTATTTACAAATCTTTTGGATTTCTCCTGAACTTAAGTTCTGAAGAAGCCAACAGGATGATTGGCGAAACATTACCAAGTTGATATACCAACAACCAATGCACGAGGAATCCAGAAGTTTTGTAATTATTTGCATTTGCCTTATTTTATGATGATAGTTACATAGCTCATAGCTATATTTCATTAGGTTTTTATAAAGGATCTAAAAGTGTACAAAAATACAGCGCCTGTTCAAATTTCAGTGTTGGCAGTAGTAGTTAAAAATTGGAACATCTAATATAAGAAAATTCCGAAGAAACTCGCTTTAAAAATTACAACCTTAGTATAACTTTTTGTATGTAGATTTTAAATTAGCACTTTTGTCCCATTTAACATTGGAACAGTAGCCGCCACCCAATTCTTTGGAGTACTAGTATCTTGGTGGTGTGTATTCTGATGATGCTTGAAAGGTTCATATGTTTTTTTTTTGTTTTAATATACGTACATGTCTAGGTATCAATGTCAATATGCCTTGTTTTTTAAAAATGGTGGCTTATGGTTTATAGGTTTATATTCCATCAACATACACTATCAGACAAAAGTAGAGCAACATCTTCAAAAATAAGATATTATGATTATACATGCAAGGTATTGTATACAAATACAATACATTTGAGGACATTAAAGTAGGCTATGATTTATTGATGATCACAAGCAAAACAAATGAATTTATTTTGACGTTAGTTTTAAATGTTTTAAAAGTTTAAAACATTTCTAAAATTTGTTCAAAAAGACGCTTTTCGTAAAAGTAAATGCAAAAATAACTCGTGTTGGGTTTACTTTGTGCTAAGTTAACCATTTGTGTGCAGGACTAGTTATGCCAAGAGGAATTCCAATTTCAATCAAGCTGATATTTCAAGACAGTTTATGTTACCTCGGTACAATGTATCTAGAATAATTTCATCGTATAATAACAGAGGACACTTAGAAAAATTTCCGAAATCGGGAAGACACAAAAAAACAACGGGTTTGACTGACAGGCGCATTAAAAGAATTGCAAAGATCTGTGCAAAGAAGATTGCACGCCGGCATTGAAACTGGACCATCAATTCCTGGAAAAAAGTTCTATTCAGCGATGAAACGCGATATAAAATATTCAATTCTGATGGAATGCGACGTGTGAGGCGACTAATTAATACAAGGTTTAACCCTAAGTACGTAACACCTACAATTAAACATGGTAAAAGCAGTGTTTTTTTATGGGGATGATTCTCATGGAATGGAGTAGGTTCTATTCACTTCATTAATGAGACAATGGATCGATTTGTTTATAGGGAGATTATGCAAAATGTTATGCTCCCTTATGCAGAGTGGGAAATGCCGTTACGTTTTATTTTCCAACAGTACAATGATCCAAAACATTCTTCACAACTCGTTCAACAGTGGTTTGCAGAAAATCATGTTAGAGTTTTGCAGTGGCCGGCACCTTCGCCAGGTCTTAACCAAATTGAAAATCTCTGGGATGAAGTAGAACGTCGCATTCGTAAAAAAATGTTTCCAAATAAACAATCATTGATAGATAAAATTAATGAAGTTTGCACAAATCTTCCAGAAAATGTCACTCAAAAGTTGATAGAGTCAATGCCGCGCCGTTGCCAGCAGGTAATTCTCAATAATGGATATTCTATAAATTACATTACTAAATATTTCCGGGCTTTTGAGCCGTGGTCCCTCCACCACGGCTCAAAAGCCCGGAAATATTTAGTAATGTAGTTTCTGGCCGTGAAAGCATAACATCTTTGATTCTATAAATTATTAAGGCATAATTTTAATTATTATTATTGTACTAAAATGTGTGTTTAATGTTTTTTTTTATAAATAGAATACAATACAATACTGTTAAATACAACTTTTTGAAATAAAATAAAATAAAACACTGTTAAATACAATTTGTTGCTTTACTTTTGTCGCCTTCATTTTCGTCAAATTATATATTAATTATTATTTAACTTTCACCAACTAACTTAAGGTACCTGCAAAATGTTGTGAAAAATTACTTGCTTTACCAATTTTTTTTTTATTTAAAAAATACTAAAAAAATATGTTTGTTGCTCTACTTTTGTCCGATAGTGTAGATATCATGTGCTACAAGCTAAGAACCTATTGCAATGTACCTAATTTTGGTTAATAAGTAAAACTTGTGGTGACAACCAATATTCTACAATGTCTACATGTGTCGCCATATTTTGAGTTAAAAATTATAAAAAATATGTTTATGTCCAATTAAAATTATAGAATTTTTAAACTAGCAACTTTGTATAAACTAATTTGTTTATGAAGTAAAAATTAAGTTCTTAACTTACAGTATCCATAGTATAGTATGCTGGACATGTTATGGGTCACGTTGTAGATAATCCAAATTACTGATTATGTGAAAAGGACTATCTTTTTTCATTTCATTTTTTTCTTGTTTCAGCTTGTTTGCAAAGCGCTGGCAAAGACAGAAAAGCGTATTCGCCTTTAGATCAAGCAGAGGCTCTTTCCCTAGAGCAAGACAACGACAGATCGGATAATAACAATAGGACCAATACGCACAACAAAAATCACAGTAGGTGAGTAAATTCACACGAGTGTAATTTTTCCCTATATTTGTAATGGCGGGACATGGCCGTCTGTATATTATAAAGCGTAATAGTGAACTTTTTGACACCATATGTCAGGAAGATATTAAGTCAAGGGCACCACAACTGTCATACTACATGTACAGTGCTATTGATTCACAAATTGAAATATAAATTTAAAAAAATGCTGTTTAAAGGACAAAGAAACCTTCGTGAGAATAAAGAAACACTAATAATAAGAATAGTAACGATTTTAAGTCAAGAAAGAAGCCGACAGCGGGCACAAGAGACAGAGAAACGAGAAAAGAAAAACATCGTCGCTGTGTCTCTTCGATGGTCGCTGTTAAACCTCTAAATGTACAGTTATCCCATTTTTTATGGTTTTACATGGCATTTTGTGTTTTCTTAAAATAATTTTATATTTTCGTTATGGAAAAACCAGATTTTCCAAAATAAACTTTTGTGTGTGCTATTTGTTGTTATTTTTAATTTCCCATAATTGTCATATTTTGGGTTAACTCGAACCATAGCAGAACAAAGAAGGGGTCAGACATCAAAATGTCTGTTTGGCAACTAAAGTATATTTTATCGCCTATTGCATTACAAAAATGAAATTAAAGACATATAATTTGTGTTTGAAATGCCTCTGTTGCATTTTTGAAAAGTACATAAAAACACTCAAAAACAATTAGAGTTGCGACTGTCAGACAAAATATGACTACGACCCTGGTACCTGCGTAAAAAATTCTACCTCAGTTTTTATCTTTTCGATAACGCATAACCTAACTACAAAGGGTGTCTAAAAATGCAATATTTTCGAAATTTCCCTGTATTTAAAAATCTATGCTATGTCTGTTTGTAATAAAATATGGATGAAGCTTTCCAATACAATAAATTTATCTACTACATTGGGGTTCAATAATAACAGGTGCGATGCATCTTTCGAAATATGACAATAAAATTTAAATTTTTAAAACTAATATTTAATATACTATACTACATAATAATTACGGGGGCGATTTGTCGGTCCATTTTAAAAAGAAAACTTCATATGAACATATGTCCATCTTAACTTTTGAGATACAGTATGGTTTTCAAAAAATTCAAAAATAAATTTAATATTTGTAATACCAATTTAGAGATTTTAACAAAACTTGACACACAAGTACTATGACATTGACATTGACATTGATGGTACTCCACTGATTTCTCTTAAAATAAAAAATATTCTTTCAATCTCCAATCATTTCTAAGGAAATTCAATTTCTTGAGTTTTTCAATTTTCTCTCTCTTCTCTGCATGGTCATAACAAGATCGTTAATATGACAGCATGCAAAGAAATTAGTTTTTATCTTTAAGTGAAAACAGACGGAATGCAAATGCAGGATATTAGTGACGTGTCACTGACTATGAACAAATAATATTTTGATTAATTAGGTCCCTACTACACTGGTTAAATCGATAATTTTTTTTGTGAAAAATGAAATATGTATTTAAAACAAAATATCTAATTTTTAGTGACCAACTAGCGTTCTTCAGAAAAAAAAATATTAGAAGACTGTGCTTTCTTACTTTTACAGTTTTAATTAATTAACATAGCAGGCTAATAAAAACATAAATAATAAATGATTTTCATTGAAAAAAACACATGGGATTTCGACATATTTTGCAACAATTAGGGAAATTTCAAATCTCAGCGCATGCGCATATTGAACACACCTCAAAATTTTGTTACATAGTTGCTTCACGAGTTCCGGTACTATTAGCATAGGCAGGGTCTCTATACGTCTAGTAGCTATATGGAAAGGACTTGTACAAACAACGAAATAAAAACGACAATTGTCAACTAAAAAATAACAATCAACAACAACAACAAAATTTCCAGCGTTAACTCGATATCGCCGGCGTTGGGGAACGCGGGCGCCATCTTGGAAATGAAACACCTATGGGACGAGTTCCACTCGTTGGGCACGGAAATGATCGTAACGAAAGCAGGCAGGCGAATGTTCCCGACGTTTCAGGTGAAACTGTGCGGCTTGGATTTACATTCCGAGTACATGCTGATGATGGACTTCGTACCTGTCGACGACAAGCGATACCGCTACGCCTTCCACAGTTCCAGTTGGGTGGTGGCGGGCAAAGCGGACCCCGTCTCGCCCCCCCGAATCCACGTGCATCCCGACAGCCCCGCCACCGGCGCCCAGTGGATGAAACAGACCGTCTCTTTCGATAAACTCAAACTGACCAACAACCAGCTGGACGATAACGGACACGTAAGCATCTTTTGTGTATCGTTGGTATATTAAATATTAAGCTCTGGTCCTGACGGTACTTTATGAAAAACGTGTGAGAATTTGTGAGCTGAGAGTAGGGTGGATAAAAAGAAACGATTATTTTTTTCGGATCTGACGCACAAAAACTAGTTGCTACTTACCTCTAGGAAGTACTAACCACGTAAAAGCTCTTCATATTAATCGGAATATTATTCTCGTGTATTTTCGATTTATCACCAATAGATCATTAAGTCAATTTTATTGATAATTTATCACTGGTCGATGATACTGTTGCACTCGATATAAAAAATTCGAGATCGATTAAAAGAACATCAATTCGATTATTCAAAAGGATTTAAGTGACGTCGTTACTCAAAAATCATTGAACTTGTTCAAAATCTTTGATCTACCATATGGTTTCCCTGATGTTGACATTGTAGTGTGGCCTTCAGATGAGAGGAAAATGAAGAGTATTTCAAACAAATGAAAGTTGTAAATTACGAAGACGAAGAAAAACGAATAACATTTTCAATAGTTGCTGCAAGTTGTCAAAGAACATCGAGGACTATTTCCTGGCTGCAATAAAAGTCGACTTATATAACTATATCTAAAAAATAGATATTTTTCTACTAATACCGTATTAAAGAATAAAATTTCATATGGTGGAACGGAATTCTTCTATTAATGCATTTATTGATATTTCTTGAATAAATTTTTTTTTTCTGAAATAAATAATAAACAATCTCAGAATTTACTATGTCAATGAACAAACTGAAAATATTTATTAAAAACTATTTATTAAAATGGTCCGAGTAATCGATAAACCATAAGAGACCTTTTTTCTAGAGCATTAAACGTCCTATAAGAGCAATAACAAAATTCAGAACAAAAACTTATTTTTCTTTAAATTCTTCAATCTTTAACCTCGAAGATCTTTCAAATGGTTCGATTTTTCGAAAAAATATAATATTTTTGTATTAAAATTATTAATAAAATTTTCTTAATGATCTATTGGTGATAAGATATGATTATTTAAATATGGATGATGGACGACAATGTACAGAAAACCTACAGCGAAAAGATAGCAAAATACGAAAAGCTTTCCTACGAACTAAAAGCACTATACCACTGGTCCATACTCTGCATTTCATTATCTCAGCTAACGGGCTTGTACACAAAACTTACGACGCCCAAAAGGCCGCAATTCTAGGCACCTGTCGAATTGTCCCTGTAGTATCTACTGAGCAGATTTCTTCGACACAGTCCCCTGTTTACTTGTATCGCCCAGAAAACCTGTGGAAAATAATAATAATAATATTTGTTTATTTTTTGCACTTCGTATTTACATTTTATCTATTAGCAGTAAACCAAAAGCAGAGTGCAAAAAAAGGAACCGATAAACAATTTTAAAAAAGATCAAAGCCGAGTCCCTAATTTCATAAGCTACTTATATCTTAACATATAATGATACATACTGATTATGTCAATTCATTAACACGAGTACATAAAAAATAAAAAACAAAACTGTACAGTATCTTATTAATAGAAATCTACTTCGGCTAATAGATCGATTATAAAGAAAAGTTTTATAATTTTTTCTAAAAGAGGTGATGGGTTTCTTTACGTTATGGGAAACAGCATTATACAAATTGTAGACACAGTAGGAAAAAGAATTTTCAAACAATGCTTTACGACACGGGGGAGGAGAAATAAGATTCACAGTGTATTTTAAATAAATAAATAAATAACTAAATACTGGTTCTAATATGAAAGTATCCCAGCAAATTGATTTTTTAATTCTATTATATTCTGGTGGCGCCCCTAGAGTGAAGAAAGCCAAATAGTCTCCTCTGCTTAGTTCTGGTAACTTTTGGGAGGCGGGATTTCTGGGATCTGAAATTCTTGAAAATAGATGATAATGAAAAATGTCTGTTTTTTTTTTCTGATGGTCACAAAAAAATCCTTATTCCCAATAAAATCTATTAATGAGCCAGGATAGACTTTTCACCAGTCCGAAAAACCCTGAAAATGTTGGGCTATTTCTAAAGAGTCGAGGAAAGTCATGTCATTTTGACATGTATACAGTTTTCAGTCTGCAAGGCATCCGTGAGTGCGGAATAACTGACAACGGACAATCTTTTTTATTTTCAGATCATACTGAACTCGATGCACAGATACCAGCCGCGATTCCACATAGTCTTCTTACCTCCGAAAAGCGCTCAAAATACCAACGAGGAAAGTTGTTCGGATAATTTCAAAACGTTTGTTTTTCCGGAGACCGCGTTTACCGCAGTAACGGCTTACCAGAACCACAGGGTAAGTTCTAATGTGACGGTAAAAACAAAGTTTCGTTGCTACTTCTGCAAGTAATTAATTTTAATGCCGAAATAAAAATTAGTCTTTATTATTATTAAACCTGTGCTGCGATTATGTAGTTACATATTTCCAACGGAAGAAATTATATCTATTGGCCCCGTGTGAATAAGCTATTTTTTATTACTGAAGTATGGTAAAGCTAGGACAGTTGACCTATCCTTCTTTGTAGTAGCATAAAACTAAAACCCAAAGGGAACTAGTTTAAAAAATATTTTTTTATAACCAGTTCCCCTTAGACTCGATCCATTTTTTCCTTGATCCAATAAATCCAGTTCATCTAACTAACACTAACTAATCAATACTAATTTGAATTTTATTTTTCCCATATTTTTCATCTATGATCACTAAATATTTTCTTTGTTCCTTATTTTTATTTTTTTCTTTGCTTATTTATTATTTCCTTATATATATATATATATATATATATATATATATATATATATATATATATATATATATATATATATATATATATATATATATATATATATATATATATATATATATATATATATATATATATATATATATATATATATATATATATATATATATATATATATATATATATATATATATATATTCGATCATGCATTTTGTTAAAAGCAAAAAGAGGTTATTTCTTATTTTTCGTTATATATAGTGGAAATAAGGTTTCTCAAACGGGAGGTACGTTTTTAATGCATTTTAATAGTCCACAAAACGCTAGGATTGAGAAGTGTAAACCGTTTTCCAACCATTTCGAGAGCTTTTAACTCCAAATCGAAGAACTTTTTTTTCTCGTAACAATAGACATAAAGTACTAATAATAAAACCAGCTTATATAGAATCTAAAATATCCAATCTAAAATAAAGTTGGAATGTAAAATTTCAAATTATTTCAAAGTATACAGGGTGGTTCCGAAAAGCGTGACGAATAAAACATATATATATATATATATATATTTTTTAATATTTTAATTTTTCTAAAGAAATACTAGTTTTCACACTTGCACAAAAATTACGATAGCGCTATTACTTTTAATTGATAATTGATATTAGCTGATATATGCAACGGAATTTAAATTAGGTGCTACAGGGTGTTCCAAATAAACTAATATATTTCTACATCTTAAATTGAAAAAAATTAAATGGCACACAATGTATATTATCATTTTTTCTTACAAAAACCTAAAACTTTTATTAAGAAGCTATGTAAAAGCGTCGAAAGACTACTCTGCTTTTTGCTCATGGAAGTAGTGAACATTTAAGTTTTACTAATAAAACCAAAATTTATCATGTGCCTGGGGGTAGCGTGACATTTCACGTCCTCAAAATGTCTGAATTCCTAAAATCCCTACCCGATTTGTTTCAGTTGCGCGTCCATACACGGAGCTTAGAGCCAATAAAGCGACTCACACACGTAACTTCGTTTTACCCTCGAACCATCTATTTTTAACACCATGCGATTTATTTCAGCTTTTCCAATATTACCTCTGTCTAAGAATATTGGTATAACATTAGTTGGTCACATTGTCAAATTTTTACCTAGTCAATACATTCATAAAACTTATTGTGGTGACGAAGGGTACATACCAGCTAGACAATCTCTTCAGTGTTTATTGGAACGGTTTGGTGAATATGAAAAACGAAAAGTGGTAAAATGGAATGCCACCAATGAGGAAAAAGAATTGGAAATATTTCAAGTTCAAGATAATAAGTCAGTAGCCGTCAAGTTGCTAGTTTATGTGATATACCCCAATCTAATGTTAATTGTAACTCTGGAAAACACAAATATTATCTTTTCTACACCACAAACCTCTAGACCGTGGTTTTGAACAAAGGGTCGACTATTTTTTGTCCAAATAATGTTTTCCGATGAAGCCATTTTTCGCGGTAATGGTGCAGTTAATCGTGATAACATGTATTATTATTCAACTATTCTGGTTGGTTGATTAAGTTGACGAATTTCAAAGCGACTTCACTACAAAACTTAGAAAAATGTATGTTTTCTTCATCGCGCTTTTTTGTATACCCTATACCATTTAACCGACTCTATATCTTTAATAATAATAATAAATAATTATAATAAATATTATAATATAATAATAATAAGTATATCTTAAGATCTTCCTCTCAGATACTCAACATTAACCGAATCTTATAATAATGATGAAACAACAAGTAATAATAAAAGTTAATTATTGGTAAAATAATCATTTATTTAGGACAGCGTTTAGTTTTTTACTTCATTTGTAAAGTTAAGATCTTCATTTCCAATTGAATTTTAATTCGATCACGCAGCTTCCAGGGAGAGCAAATAGCATAATTTGTGTTTTTTTAGAATTTAGCTTAAGATTGTGCTTGTTACTGTATTGGCTTTTAAGATCGAAACTAACATTAGCTTCGACGTTATCATAATATAACATAATATAATAAAAGATACAACAGAGGTCCACTACTCAAACCTAAATCTGATATATCGAACCGCGGAATGTGACCAAATTGCATTATGAATTTTTTTATTTTTTTCCAGATAACGCAGCTGAAAATAGCTAGCAACCCCTTCGCTAAGGGTTTTCGCGACTGCGATCCCGACGACGGGTAAGTGATTCTAAAACTTCATAGTTGACAATTAGCCGTATTCGCATTCTTTCGCCAGTTTCGTACGGGAGATTTCATCGCCTGACCCCGTCGCATCTATTTCGGTATCTGTCAACTGTCCGGGAATTAATTGCCGACGAGTATTTAACCGCATTCGTCTTGCTTCGGGCTGTTGCCCCTCCCTCCCGTCCCGTTGCAAATGATCACATGTTCCCGCGACATTTTTCGAATTGAAACCGCGTGATCCGACTCTAATTAATCGCCACCTGCGCGTTGATCGGACTTACGCACTTTGGGATAGATTGAATTAATTTTGGCTATTAAAGGAGATTTTCAAGGTGGTATTTTTTCCATGAAAACAATACATACAGTTTGTCAAATACCTATTTAATCAGTTAGTTTTTAAAACAGATAAAAAAAATCAGCAGGCCGTGCGTGGCATTGGCCTAAACTCAACTTTCACTGTCAAAAAAAAACATTTGTTTTTTTCATGACAATTTAGTGTCATTTTAATTAAACGGCGCTATTAAATAGTTTTTTAAGTGAAGTATAATGTAAGTAATGGATAACAATACTTAGGGTAAGTTACAAAAAATATAGCACAATTAGTTTAAAATAATTAGGCATTTACACACATTTACAGCTAAAAAAGCTAAACAGGGTTTGAAGTTGTTCAAAATATTCGATATTTCTTTTCAGTTAGAGCTACAAAAAATTCATTGATATTTAAGTAACGTTTTACTGCGTATTGGAATATTACTCTAAATAGCATGTAGTATATTTTTGCATAAACTTGCATAAACACGTTTTAGGAGTATTTTTAGTACCGATGCCGAGTGGGCCATAAAAACCAAAAAAAAAAAATTTGTTTAATAACTTTTTAATTTTTTGACCGATTTTTATAAATCAAACACTGAATGATAGCAAAAGACTAAGCCCCTCCACTTGGTAAAAAAAAACCAAACGCCATTATGAATTTCAAGATGGCGTCGGTTTTTGAAATGATGTGATGTTTAGCTAAAAGAAAAATGTCAGGTTATTTGTAAATTTTAATAAACCACGGTTCTTCGGCTTAGTTGTTAAAAAGATATTTCAGTTTATTCAAATACTGTTTTTCCCATCCATTTCCACGAATTTGCTGATGCAAATTAAATTCTTTTAAATTTTATAACAAAAATAAATCAAGGCCGGTGAATAGGGGATGAAACAAGTTTAAAAAGCAGCCGCGATTTAAGACCTTAAGACAGCGGCCGACTTTGAAATCCTGATTTTTAGCAAGGCCTATATTTCAACGTTGTTGAAAATCAAGATTTCAAAATATGTCTCGACCTTGCGAATAAAAAGTGGTTTGTTTTAGGCGAATATCGACTGAAATATTTTAACGAAACCTACTAAAATAATGAGTTTTGTTTTAAGTAAATTTTACATTCCTGATGTGTCTATTTGAAAAACTGCAGACTTCTAAAAGTTACAAATCCAATATTATTTTAACAAATTGTCATCCGGTCGAAAGTATTTACCTTTTAAAGGAAAATCTAAGCGATCTCAAAGAAGAGGTGCTCTAAACTTAGCAAAATCGAACAAACACGACTCTAAGCTAATTAATTATTCATGCAGCTGCTATTGCTGCAAAGCGTACTGGCAAATAAGATCTCCATACTATCAAAGAGTCCTGAAAGGGCAACAAAACTAAACAAAGCGTTGTATGAGCAAAAAGAGCCAATGCCTCACAGTCCCCAAGAAGACTTATTTTTTTTACTGGAAAACAAGTTCACAAAACAACAATATTTGGCTGAACGGAATTGTACTAAAAACAGGCACGATATCTATCCAGCATATAAGTACGTTAAGCAAGCAAAATTTGAATGCAGACCACCAGATATAATTTAAGTGCTACCTAAGGTGCCCGTGGAAAACCTTATTCATCATACGACTAAAAATTTTTGATGAAAATTTGACAGATATAAATATGTTTGCAACTACCCTGATATCCCTACGGGTGGTAAGTTCTAAAGGGGTAGTAATTTGGAATAATCGTATTCCGCAATCGGGTAGGTTTTGCAGACTAATAAAATTGCAAAAACAGGTGCTCACCAACAAGAAAAACCTCAATGAAGAAATTCAACATTTTTTAAAACAACTGTAGATAACACTCATATACAAGTAAATTTTCAACTTTGCCTAACTTTAATCTACGGAAAAATACTTCCTGTTTTAACAGGAACAGTCACTAATTTTAAATCAAATGTGTTTAAACCAAAACCTAATTCACAAAAACATGGTATAAGTCCTCTTTACTCTTTACATATTCCTGATAGAGTCCATCTTAAAGTTTGGGAAGTTAGAGGCATTGAAAACAAAAATCTTTTCTCCGAAAGAAAAAAAATCTATTCAAGTTCGTTTCTGGAAAGATTGAACTGAGAAATTTTACGACTTAACCTACACTTTACGCCACGTTCTTTCCAGTGATCTCCGCACACTTAATTTGTTTTAACTGTGGTTGCCAAATAATACACAGCTGCACACCGTTGCCGTTGTTTTATATTTCTTTGATTTAACTAGGAAGTTATATAAAACGAAATAAGCCAAAATTCAAACGACAAAAACATAGTTCGTTCTTTTAAATACATATATAACAGTAAAATGTGTCCGTTTTAGAGAAATCAGTTGTCCTTTCTAAATTGCTGTGAAACCATATGACTACTCTATAAAAAATATAACAGAATATCGGTACCAAATGGAAATATTAATATAAAAATTCTTAAATGTAAATAACAGATGAACTATAAAATAGAATTTTTAAGTTCTCAACAAAAAAGATTCAAACAAATAAAAATAAATGAAAATTTAACAATTGAACTGAGGTGGCTTTTACTTGATGAAAATCCACTTAACTAAGTAAATAAGAACTGGAAGTTCAGATTTTCACGAAATTTATATTTTCACATGACAATTGTTTCGACAACACCGTGTCTTTATCAAATGTGTATGTCATAATATATAATTTCGTGAAAATCTGAACTTTCAGTTCTTATTCATTTTGTTTTCTGGAAAGAACTTTTGCCCGTTGACAAACCTAAATGACAGCGCGATTAATTAACGAATCCGTATACCGGGTGTTTTGGTATCGCGGCAACGGCCTCGAAAATAATCAGATTCGTCCAAATATTTGTCCGCGATAAATCTCGGGCCGCGGCCCAAAATCCGATTAAGATTATGAAGTATTTATTTTGATTCGATCCGACTTTTTAAATCTCGCCGCGTTCCCCGTTGCTATTTTCGGACCAAAACCAATAAACACATCACTACGGCGCGATTTTTAAATAAATATAAATCCCGACGCCTGCGCCCCCCTTCCCCTTCCGCGGCCAGACGATTTTTTCCACTTTTCGTGCGGGCCGCCACCACTTTCACGTCGCCTTGTTTATAGTTCGTTGCTTCTATTCACACGGGGCGTTTTGGAAACCACAGAACGACCATAAATTATTATGAGGTTAAAATATTGACCTCTAATTCCGGAACCACCAACAATGAGACACAATGTGCGGGTAAGGAAAAATTGAAAACATATAAGGGTAAATAGTGTATATATGCTTCTTTTGCCGATGATTTAAAAGGAAAAAAAGAGATTCGTTCACATTAGATGTATCGGAGATCCAGAGCAACCTTGACAGGTTTATTGATTATTGCAGAAACCAAACCAAATTTTGATAAATGTCGAGATTTTTTGTTAACTTAGTGCTTCATAATACACAACTGAAAAAAATTAAATAAGTAAAAGACACTTTACTACGCCAGTTTCGTTTCCCACGGATCCGAGTCACTTCGGATATTTCCGGGATTTTACCGCACGGATTTGGGAGTATTCGGATGTTTTCGGAGATATTTCCCACGCTTTGAATTTTGACGTTTGTCAATTCTGACGGTCATGTCAGTGGATATATTCGTGTTGTTTTACGAAAATGTACCCAAAAACTAAAGGTCGTAGAAAAAGTATAGTATGCAACACTATAGGAATTGTTCTTGACTCTTAGATAAACTTTGGGGCTCATACTGAAACTATGGTCAAGAAAAGTTTGAGAAATCCGGGCCTCATTTTGATAAATTCCAAAGGGTTCAACAAGCATCAGTCTGTACTAGAGTACTCATCCACAGGTCGGAATCATATTTATAGTAAATATATCATCAGAATAGAAAGCATACAAAAAACTTTTTAACATCGCCAATTTTACTTACTTACAATATTGAAATTGAAATTTGAAGAAACTGTTTTGATGTTGATTTTCGTTAAAAAAAAATTAAAAAATCTTGTCAACGCTAATTCATATCAGTTGGGAACAAGACTGATGTTTTCTATTGTACTTATAAAAGACTTATGATAATTGCGTTTTTCAAATTGGCATAGAGATATGTTTAATTTAAACCTTAGTTTATGAAACCTTAGTTTATTTAAGACATATGTAAACTTCTTTAGCTCGTTGTTATAATGTAATGTATGTAATGCTTTCATTGTAAAGATAAGAAACTTATTGTTCACTTTCCCGATGCGTCTGCCTGTCGAACTTGCTGACGTTTCGCCAATCATCATCCTGTTGGCTTCTTCATAGCTTGACTGAAACTGGCTCGCATTTTACTCTGTATCTGCTTATATATTATTTGAGGGGGGCGGAGCTAAATGAGGGGCATAAATACCGTCTCAGATGACTGATTCCCATATTGGTGATAGGAAAAGAACTGAGTCGCGGTTAAGATTGTTAGGTTGTTTATTGATTTCTATAGACTGGTAGAAGAACTGCAAGAACATGCAAGAATTTTAGTTTTATGGAATAAAATTTAATATCCGGTTTCATGAGTGTGTTCGGCAACAGCAATCTCAAATGGAATTTTGTCTTTGACGGACCGAAGATGTTGAGAGATTTTTGGACAAGTGGTAAATCTGGTTTTGACGTTATACTTCTTTAGAACTTTTGATATGTGGTCAGTGATGTTTTGAATGTAAG